GTTCAAAGTGACACTACATATTATTGTGTTCATTATTGGGACCAAGAATACTTAAGTGTGTGGTTATATGAACACTAAAGTATCTAAACTATTTATCATTGATTATAATATATTAATATAATTAATGGACGTAGATTCATTTAAATTTGTTTTAAAGTTTCTAAAGCAAGTAGTTAATGTACCATCTAGTAAGTCTCTCAGTTTCTAAAGTGCAAATGGTTCTATGAGTGAACCAAATAGAAAGATATTGATTTTCTGGTTTAAGCAAATCTAAAGTTTATGAAAGTTCTCTTAGAAGTTGTATCATCTAAGGCTACTGACTTCTTAATGAGAACAATAAAAATAATTTACTAAGAAGTTGTATCATCTAAGGCTACTGACTTTTTAGTGAGAACCATAAAAATAATCTACAAAGTAAAACTTTATGATGTTTTTTGTAGAGTAAGTTAAAACTAATGAATTTTTGAATTTTAGGCTGATGCATTTTGGAAATAATAGTTAATCATGCAACAAACTTGACATTTTCTAACGATGTATATGTCCAAATTAATTTAACTTGAAAGGTTCTAGATTAGTACATTGTAAATGGCCATTGGTAATATGCTATTGATAGCAAGATACATCAATAGTATATTAGGACTTGAAGTGTCATGATTACTTTGATTTGCATATTTTATCTTACTAGTTAGAAAATTCCATTTAAGTTTTTCATATTCATCTGTTAAATATGGAAAGTATTATCCTAGTGGTGATTTATATGAAAATGTGTAAATGCAACTTCATAATGCTTTGTGCTGGTGAAGTAATATGTGTGTATTAGTGAAGTCTTCATTTGATTTTATACAATTGCATGGTGATTGATCTACGTTACTCTCACATGGTGTATATATGTTGTAAATTGTATATGTCAAAAGTTTATGAAGAGTATGTAATAGATGTTTGCTTTCGTATAAATATTTATGCTCAATGCATATACTGATTTTAAAAACATGCAATGGATACTAAGAAAAATCTTTTTTCTAAGTTCAAACTAAATGAGCTTGGTGAAAGAGGTAATGTCTTAGTCATTATACTAAAGGAAATGGTGAGGGTTTTGTACTTTCTTATTCATATGATGTTAATAAGTTATTAACAAAGTGTCAACATGTGAATATGAAGAAAATTTGTACTCTCATGATTTTATATCTATCATTTGTGTTAAATGTGACAATCCAATTACTAAACTAGAATCTTCTAGTGACATTGGATGTCTTGTCTGTGCATTAGAGCTGTGTTAACATATTCTTTGTTATGTGACTCACTGATTACACTAAGTGCCTAAGTAAGATCATTGCAAATATAATGCTAAAATCATAATGTGTCTTTGAAAGACTAATGTTTATGATTTTATTATAACTGATTAGATTTATGTTGTTCTTAAGGGCTACTCGAATGCTAGTTGGTATTCTAGCATTAGTGATTATAACCCGTTAGTGGTTCGAAATTCATGCTTGGTAGTGAGAGATGTTTCTTGATAAGTGTAACTAGCAGTAATCACTCTCTCCAATATATAAAAGAAAGAAAAGCTGAATTTGTTGAACTATCTTCAGTACATAAAGAGGTGAAGTGGCCAAAGGACCATGACCTATGTTGCCTGTAACCTTGTGTTGTGATAGTTAGATTAATATATTTTGAACATTGTGTAAAATTTCACTGGGTAAATATAGACATATGTTGATGTTGTCGGTGTTGTGTTTTGAAAACACAATTTTGTTATGGATCCATGTACCAAATCTCTTACGAGAAAATTGGTATTTTTTGACAACAAGAGGAATGGGAGTAAAATCTCAATAGTAAAATCATGAACAATGGAAACTCAACCTTATTCTAGTACTACCCCTAGATTGCAAGGTTTCAAGGGTAACAACAAGTTATTTTGTGGTTGCGAGCACCAAAATTCGTGTATACCATTCCAAGTATTGGTGCATTATATACGTTACTCTTAAGTGAGTAGGTTGAGAGAAATCTCTTAATGGAATTATTCCTGAGCGTTTCATTACGGTATAGTAATAACTGATTATTGGTTTAAGTAACGAGCCACCAATAACTTAACTAGTTAGGTGACTTAATTTCACTACGATGTGGTTTAAGACGAAAGTTACTACTTTTTACGTGCGATTCTCATGATTGTATAATTATTTTATATTACAAATTAAGTGGAAGAATGTTAGAAATTTTAGTTTGTAAAATAAAATAATTAATTTAGAATTTAAGGATAATAATTAAGTTGGCAACTATTCACTTGCATGGTGGTTATTTCCTACAAGTCAAGGATTGTGTACTTAATTTGTATCTTTTGTTTCTGCAATCTGTTGCCTATAAATAGATGAACTAGTGTAGGATTTCATTCTAACTTTTGCATTCCTAAATTCTTGAGAACATTCAATAATTGCAAGTTGCATGTTCTTGTGTTCTTTATGTCCTGGAGGCAAATTGCCAAACAAACCCGATATTGCAACATGGAAGGGGTAAATATTGTCTTAAGGACAGTGTCTGACACGATTAGAACACATCTAAATCTTGTGTTTTCCCGATTATTGTTATATTCAAGTTTCTAACAATAAAGTTCATAAATCTTTTATTTTTATTCTTTAGTATCTTTTGTGTTGTCTTTTTGATTACCATCCCCATATACTTTCACGTGATAGATGACGTAGTAACTTTTGAGTTACTATTTGTTAAGAAAAAAATTTCATGTTTCACGAACGAGCTATATAGCCTCGTAAACTAATGCTAGATAAACTTACATTGTAGATGCTCCAAGCCTTCAACCACCTTAATGGTTAGATTTTTCTTTTAATGTTACATCCAGTCAAATGTATTCGGAACCACGTACTAGATTGTTTTAAAGAGACCTTAAAAACAATTATTAAAATAATTGATAGTAAGAAATTGTTGTTATTTTATATTCTCTTTGTTTTATAAGAATAATCTACATTATAAATTATGAGTTAAATAAAAGTGACATAATTTCTCAACATACAGTAGAATGTGGACTTATGTTATGGAAGGGAAAGACCAACTAAAAAATACTCATTCTTCTCCCCAAACAGAGTCGAAAGTTTTGTCAAAGAGAGTGAGCAGGACGGCAGCACCGACTTTGATGTTGAACTTTTGGACTGACACAAAACATCACAAAGTCAACAGTATCCACTGCCTCTACTCTACTGTGTGTGTCCCATTGCTATATTTAGATTTCGCGTACAAGGAAGGCCTGTATAACCAAAGGACCATCAATAATTTTAAGGCTAACTATTTCACCATTCGATATATCTATTGTATTTTTATTTTATATTTCAAGATGAAGGACCACCTGCTGATACTATTCAGTACTCTTTGGCCAATTAGTATTTTACTAATCCGTTCAGTGATTGAATTAATTAATGCTATTATCGAACACCTTGCAGATATAAAATATTAAAGAAAAAAGAAAATAATCCTCATACTCAATCAGAAATCAAGGGGGAAAAAGAAATGATTTGAATACTGACAAGGTTAGGCTTGGCCCGCTTTGGGGCACCGGCACTCACAACGTGGGAAAAGCTCAGCCAAAACGTCAACCAAAGCCCTATTAAAATAGTAGGGAGTACTATTTGGTATCACATTACGTGCCTGATTGTTTAAGCAAGTAATACAGTAGTATATCTGTATATAGGTAAAAAAAACTCGAAGGTTGACTATATGCAAATCCCAAAGTAGTGTTTGGCCATTTCGTTTGGTCTACATTCTAGACTTCTAGTCTTGGATGCACACTACCTAACGACCTATGAGTAATCGTGTCTTATATGTGGAAAGTCTACAACCGAATATTGTTGAGATAGCTCTCCCCTCTCAATGATAAATAATATCATTTGGTGGGTTTGGTCAGTCCATACTACATATAGAACGATGTTTAAGTTTAGAGTCTTTAGACGAGTGAATTGTGTTTACGAGTTGAAAATGGAATTCTGTTAATCAAATTGTTTTTTTTTTTCTTGGAGAGTGATCCTCACCCAAAACTTGATTCATTATTGAGAAATTACAAGCGTTAGGATGATATTTTGGGGGGGGGTCTGGGGGTTATTTGGATACTAAGAAAGGTACTGCGTAGGCATTGAGACTTGAGAGATCTTTAAGCATTTGATTCAAGCAACCGTTTCTACGCTTTAGTGCCTAAATGGTATGGTAAAAATAAAATAAAAAATTCCTTCTGTTCCACCAAAAAAAAAAAGTTCACATTGAATTTTGAATTTTGTACTAAAAACAATACAAAATTCAAAATTTAATGAGGATTATTTTTGTGGGCGGAGAGATAAAGAAAAGAGGGGAAAAATGTGAGTTCCTTTTCCAACTTCTAGTTGTAGAATTGTAGTCTAGGCGTCTAATACCAAAAGACTGAAGGAGGTGGACCATGAGAAATCGGTCTGTTTCATTTATTTTATGGTCTTTTTAAAATAAAATATTAATAACTATCACATTTTATTATACTTTTTTTATATTTTTAATATATTTTTTTTATATTTTAATAAAAAAAACACACTAAAAAAATGAACCAAACATATCCCGAAGAAAAAACTAACGACTACTAATCTTGGATGAAGTATAAACTATAAAGAGTGGGTGCACTATAATAGATCTTGAATCTTGGCTTGGAAAAAACAGCATTCCTTTTTGACTTTCCGGAGTGTGTGGTTTTCCAACATCTTTTTAATCGGCTCAACACAAAAAGGCCCTTTTCACTTTCCACACCACTTCTTCCATTCTTCTTCATCTGCACGCACCATCATCAACATTTTTACCAAACCCCACCGGCTTCCTCTACTATCCCCACTCCAATATCCATTATCCCCACCATTTCCAGTTTTCGCTTTCTTCATATTCCCAAATCCTAAACCAGCCTTTTATAAACTACTCCCATCTCTTCTCTCTACTTGCCTTATTTTTGGCATTTCTCTTTAAAATTCCTTCCACATTCTTTCATCATGGATTTCGTAAGCTCATTACATTCCCTTTTTCTCTTTTTTATAAGATTCTATTATGCGTATATGCACTTTTTCGGATGAATATGATGTGGGTTCGATTATTATTATTATTATTATTATTTTTTTTTTTTTGGGTGTGTAGGAATTAGGGAAGAAGAGTGGACAAATACCGGCGTTCGGAGACTGGGATAATGCCAGCGAGCTCCCGATCACTCAGTACTTCGAAACTGCCCGGCAAGCCGGCTTGATTCGTTATAACGCCACCGCCACTACTGCGCACCATCACCACCACCAGCACCAGAATCATAATCAATATTACTATGATGATCATCATCCGTACAACATTAACAACCGCGGTGCTGCCGGCGGCGGCTACCATGGCTGTGCCTGCAATGATCTCTACGCTGCTGATTTTCTTCAGAAACCTCCCATTCGCGTTGTTCGTGTTCCTAACCATAAGGTATTATATTATTAAGCCCCACTTCAAACTCATTTCTGATTTATCATCTGCTCTTTCTGATAGTATTACAATGCTCTGTTTTTTTCTTTTTTTCTTCTCTCTGGGTCAAGGGTCGGTCGGTGATGGTTCATCATGAATCATAGTACTAACAACCCAATAATTTTGAAAATGTACAACCGTTTCACACGGCACGAGTCAAGAATGTAGTTTAGAAGTAAGTTAACACATCAGATATCTCCCCTGGGAAAACAATATATATTTGAGATTTGGGCCCAAGTTCTCTTTCAACGTTCGAAGGGTCACCTCACCAAATAGTTTTTTGTCACCCACCAAATTCACGTTCTCCACAGAGTAAGCAGGACAAATTTGCTTCATTTTACAAACGACAAATTTACGCGTGAACTCGATGGATATGGAAAACAGAGCAGTGTTGGTCGCACTAGTGACTATGCTAAAGCACTAAGCAGAGAGCGTGCCAATGTGAATTAGGAATTTTGGTCCACACGTTTGTTTATTAGTATACTAATGTAATAATGGTGTCTTTCCAGGGCGATTCACGTTTATGATTTTCTTTTGGGAAAATAGTAATTTGCCTAATTGGTTTACTTTAAGACTTTGGAGTTTTGTATAGTTAGTTGGTCAGCATTTTGATTCTTTAATCACTCCGGGACTAAGGCACAAGATTGGCGGTGTCAAAAAATTGGTTACCAAACCACAGAATGTCTGTGCCAATTTAAGTCCGAAAAAAAAGAGAAGGAAGAATTCCAACACCAACGATTCTCCGAATGACTTCAATTGTCACACTCTAGGTTGACTTCTTGCGTAGCTTCATACAACAGACCGCAGCTTAGAAAATGTTAGTCCAAAATCATATCCGTAATCATTTTTCTGTCTTACTTTTTGTGCACCCATGTTTCTTAGAGTTTGGTTTTATATTACGAAATAACAACAACAAAAAATGATTTTAATAATTTACAGGCAGAAATTCATGGAGGATTGGGATTGGACGACGACAACGGTAGGAGGAGGAGGAGGGGAGGAGGGCGTCCCCCGCATCTTAAGGAGCAGAAACTGAGGATCAAAGAAGCATATGGTGATGATGATGGAGCAGCGGAAGTGGACCTAAAACATCAGCAGCAGCAGCGGAACAACCACCGTACACGGAGGAGCAGTACTAGTGCCAGTAGTCACCAGCTTTATTGTCAGCAGAAGAAGCAACAATTCCCCAAGCATTCAGCTCCCATTATTCATGACCACCACCTACTCCCCCCTACTCACAATACAAATAAACCAACATCTGTACTACCCCCTAACACTGTTTCTTTTGATAAGGTAAAACCAGTAGATGAAGATCTTTACAAGATTCCTCCCGAGCTACTCCTCCATCACTCCAAGCGGGTACGTCCTTCCCTCCTCTTGTTTTTAATCATAATTCTCTCTCTCTCTTTCTCTTTTCCATCATCATTCAATGTTGTACGGGATAGTCTGAAACCATTTATATATTTCCATCATTATCAAATTCTGATAACAATTTTTTATTTTTGAAAGGGTATTCTGATAACAGTTGTTCATTCCATAGAAGTGATCTTCAACAAGTTTTAAAAAATGGGGTTATTTTATTTTGGCTGCTGCTGGTGGATTTCAGTTTTAATATTTGCTTCATTCTCTTAATCCCTCAAAATTAATTACTTTGATGATGCAGAAGAAGATGCTGGGATTCTTCTCCAAGTGCCTTGTCCCTCCTTGTAGTGCTTAAGAGTTTCTGCTCTTCACTGCTTCTCACTACAGAGAGACTTTGCTCACCAGGAGGACCCATGCATTGCAATTTTATTCATAGACTGCCGTCTGGCGTTAGTAAAAATGTACATGCATCCCTGCCACTACCAAATTTCCAATTTAGCTGTTTGATTTACAATACGTCTCGAAGACGAAGAAGGGAGTCTATTGATCAAGTATGCTTCCGTTGGTCCTGTTTATGAATCACGATTTCAAACTAAATTTATTTCAAAATTGCGCTTTACAAACAAGACTGACGGAAGTTCATATGAACCCAGCCAATTAAACTACTAATAGGTGACGTTTGTTGGATTGGATAGATATATTTGAAGAAGATGTAGTAGTGACAATTGGTGTAATAGATGATACAAGATCAAGAAACATGCTTTTCTACTAAATTATCTCTACATTTTGTATTTTTTTTGGAGTATCTCTTGTAAAAGTTGAGGAAATGGGTGTGGAATGCCTGTTTTTTGTTTCATCATATAATTTACGCATTTAACTCGAGGAAGAAAAATCGAATGTAACTAAAAATGGCATAAAATTAACCTTTTGTTAGATGTTTCGCCATTCCTTATTTAAGAAGTTATCTAAGAAATAATGTATAAAAAGTTATGTTTTTTAACTCATATAAAAAAAAATCGAATATATAACCAGCTGGAGCTGGTCACATTTTTGATGATTTAATCTTTTATTCCAATACATTGTACTAATGTAGTTTGATTTTACTCATTGTGCCTCTTCGGTGACAAAACAAAACGTATTTACATCATAGTTTTTTTTTTTTTCGAAGAATACAGAACATCATAAAATGAATAACAGTCGTACCTTCGTCAAAATGAAGAGTCCACTCCTCTCAAAAGAGGTGCAAAATTTCCAACTTTTCTACAGGATCGATAAATATGATAATCACGATGAGTTGCAAAAACAGCTAAAAAGGAAAGAAATCACAGAACTCAAAATCGGCAGCTCCCATGGCGTATATTCCACCCCACAAACGGCAGTCAGGAGACAGCAATTGCAGCTCAACCTCACTAAACCCAGTCCCAACTCCAACCCCAGAGTCTCTGTCGCCGCTTTTTCAACGAACCCTCAATTTAAGGTCATCATCTTTTGACAGGAAGAAGAAGAACAGAGACCCAAACAGGGGAGGCCCACGCATTGTCTTTGCTCCTAATGCTACTTCTAAATGGTTCCCAGTTGGTTTGGCTTCTTCTTTTGATTACAGCGATGATGATGATGATGGTGGTGAAGATGACTCTCCGTTCATGTCCTTGACTAAGCTTGAGCCCTTTTCCCTGGAATCTTATGAACGAAAATTCGGTGCAAAGCCTCGTGCTTTGGTGCTCAACTATGATCGCATAAAGGGTTTGTTCTTATTATATTCCTCAAGGGTTCTTGTTCTTATTTGTTTGAGTATGTTCAAAGCCATTCCACAATAAAGATAATTCCTTTTAGGGTTTTCAGCTGCAGTTGATTACTGTACAATGTGCGTGGTTGGTTGGGTGTGCTTGCATCTGCATAATGGCTTGTTCATGTACTTTTTTCTGTTGATAATTTCATTGTAGAATATGGTGGTGAGGGAAGGGTGCTTTTGGAGGATCCCTGGAGGTTTGCTGCTGAAAATTTGAAGGATGATTTTCTTTCGGCAATTCAAAAAGTTAAAGATGAAATCAGAGATAATGACTCTAAACAAGTGAAGCCTGCTCTGGTAGCGCGATTTGGAAGGGTGATTTTCCGTGGGTTAGTAATCATAGCGTACCAATGCTCATAATCATATGTACCATGACGTTTATGTGGATTTTAGAAGGTCATTTTATCCATATAAGCATTATACTTTTTCTTTATATCCCACGCGATGATTTTTCTTGTTACAATGACCTTGTCAAGCTGTATTTTTTTAATTTATCCTGCTGTATTTAGTTTACCTTCCCTTTTGATTTTCTTGAAAGGAAGTTTTTTCAAGTTATGAAACTGAAAGGATGTTTTGATCTCGTAGTTTAGCTGATTAAATTGGTGGGGAATCTGATGTTGTATATTTTATGTATGCACGTATGTTGCCTGCATAAGGCTTTCCAGATAATCTAACATGCATATTTTTAGGGCTCCGCGAACTTTCTCTGAAAGGAATTTAGGACAATTGAAGGGTTCATTTCACACAAATGTTTCCCCTTCATTTGTGGAACATGTAATCAAAGATGTCATTCCAAAGCTCGAAACTGTTGTTGAGTTGGAAAAAGAAAAATATGTTGTACAGGTCTGTACTCTGTATCCACTGCTCTTTGTACATTTATTTGGGTAGTCTTCTAATTCTAATTTTCTGCTCCTATGCTGGCTAGCTGTCTGATAATCTGGAACCTGACTCAACTCTCGGATGCACATGTACCTTGAGCAAGGATGGTAAATCTCTTCAACTTTACAAGGTCGGTACTCTACTGTAACCCACTGAAGGAAATGGAAAAATATATGCACTTCACTGACTCGTATAGAAAAACCTAAAGGATATCAGTGTTTACTGCTGCTTCCATGAAGGTCTTTTGTTATTCTGCTTTTTCACTTTTGGTTGCTACAAGAAGCTTTTTAGGGGAGCTACATTTTGATGAATGTTATGTTACAGCTTTTGTTGACATTATGTACATTTTGCCCATGTAGATCCAGTGGAACCAAGTGCGACATTTGGTTGCGGACATGTCTTGCCTTGGTAAGAGGGTAGATTTGAGGCTTATGTTGTACTCTAAGATAACTACGCCAGCTTTAACTGTAAGTCATTTACATTAAGAAAAAACTGTTTGTTTCTATAGATCTGTACCTGTGCTGGTTGTACTCAGCCAGACCCGAGTCCATGTAACTGTAGTGTGGTAAGATATGGGCCTTGAGCGATTGATGCAGATAGTCGCAATTTGAAGAGTGAAAAAACTGTTTATCCATCTTAGCTGAAGAGGATTTCAAAATCGAGGCAAAAAGTTTGATGATGTTTACAGAATATCATTTAGAGACCTTTTCATCACCAACTCTTTCTTTTCAGGATGATGAGATGAAATGCATACAACTAGTGATTGGTTCTGCAATTGTGGATCCTGAAGTAAAGGGTGGTTTAAGATGGCCCTTGGGTACAAACTCTTCCGGAGGGAGATACACTGTTGTTAGTGCCTGGCATACGCATGTTAAATCATTTAAGACTTCATCCATCAGGCTTAAGGTTCAAGATGCAGATAGATTTGATTTTGGATCTTCACTTGGGGAGGTTTCAAGAGAAGTGACCCTGCGATTATATGATATTATATCAAATTCCCAAGTAAGTTAAGTCTGTTTTGAGAAGGTATCTCTTTCATTTATTTATTTATTTAAGGTGAGAAGGCTACTCTGCTGTGGATAAGGATTTGCTTTTCCCAGTTGACATGAATTTTCTTTAGATGAGCTGCAAAGTCTCTTAAACATTTAAAAGTTAGTGTAGTGAGTTGTTGTTAGTGTGGTTGATATTAGCCATTGGGACTCTTGACGGAGTTCCATGAAAACACATTGGATCGCACACTATACACCATCTTCTGATGACTAAATTGATAAACTTATTAGTGTATCAGATATGTGACACTTGAATAGGGAATTCCCTTATAATCTACCCTTCACACCTGTTCACTAGGTACTAACGATTCTTTGTGGGTATCTTGAGAATTGAGAAACAACACTATTGTTTGTTGGAAAGGTAAAGATGGTCAGGGTAGTGAGTAGACTTTATGTCTGTTGTGCACACATTTTATATGAGATTATCTCTTTGAGGAGGTGGCGATGTGGACTGCAGAAATTTGGGTAGCTTAGTGGTGATTTGCTTTTGCTTAGAGGATCCTTGGAGGCTTCTGTGAAATTTGGTGATGGTGTTAGTTTCTTGCAGGAAAAGGTTCATATCTTGTTATCTTTAACAATTATGAGAACCGACCTTACATAGTGGGAAAAAGCTTGTTGTTGTTGTGTCTTATAACAATTATAAGATCCTCCTCCTGCATAAAAGAATTATGGATGTTTTAAAGATCTTATACTTATCACTAGATGTATTTTTCCTTGAGGAACTTTTATCTTGCGAATTGATAATGGATGAATCAGCTCCTTTACCAAGTTAAAAAAAAGCCTCCCAAGGATCTTTGAAGTCTAGGCAAAGCCGCCACTCAGCCATGGTATCTCTGCTCCAGTATAGGGTCACAACACGGCTGCCTTTGGAGAACTTCTTTAGAATGAGACTGTGCAGCTTACTACCTCGACCAGCCTAGTGTGAGCAGAATGAGAGGAGAATCAGATTTCTTTTTCCCTTACTGTTGTGCACAATAGATAGCTAGTTATTTTTAACTTCTGTGGACACTGAAAAGGAATAATTATTTTCTACTGATAGTCAGTGTTATCTTACTTGATTTGTTGAGCCTGATCTAGTATCAGCTTTGTCCATAGATAAAATTATGTATTGTGTTTCTGCTGTTTTTTCTGCTTTTTATCTTTTATGTTTGGTTCCTTTTTGTCGATATTCAATTCTTAAGTATTGTGAGTTTCTTTAATTCAATTATGAAATCATGCTTTAAATTTCTTCGGAACATGCAGGAGCTGCCAACGCAAGATGAGCGGTTGATTGAAATGCTCAAAAGCAACTTCAAACTGATCTGGGATTGCATCCTGTGACTTCTTTCAACTGCTCTGAGCATTGATTTGCGACCTTCTCTTTCTTACTTCGTTATGTAAAATGCTTTTTTTTTGGTGAACAATGCTTTTTCAAGTATAGGGTTGAATCCTCTGTATCAGCTCTGAAGTTGCAAACTGTTTGAACATTATTAATATCATCATAACTAGACATTTGGAATGACTTTAGGTTACTGTCCACAACAATTTGCAATGAAATTTCATTCCATTACTTTGCAAGTTGGAGCATTTACTAGAAGTACTAGTTTGAATTAACCATATTCCTACGGTAGAATTTGCTTTTTGGTGTATATTGATGTGTATTTTAAAACCAAGCCAAGAAAGGACAATGGTAGAGTATGAATATGAGCTCTATAGGAGGCTTGACTGAATAAGCCCAAGTATTCTGAAGCATACAAATTTGGAATCAACTATCTTAACTTCCTAATTGGCAATGCACGCCCAAAAAGCTTCTCGACCTCGCCAGCTTCCATTTTCAGTGTATCCAATATATCCATTTCTTCCTTGCTAAGCTCCCTCAGGAAGTATTCTTCATCTTCTTGGAGCACTTTAAATCCTTCTGCCAACCGTTTAAACAGTGTCACCTCAGTATCTTTCACCTTCTCCACTTCCTCCTCTATTTCTTCGACCTCTTTGATGATTGTCTTCTCTCCGGCTTCCACTGTCTTCTCCAGTCGCTCCACAAGTGGTGGTTCAGGTCCGCATGTGTTGTCCGTCCGGATGAACTTGTTGAAGTCACGGCCAACACTTTGCGCTGCTCTTTCCAATTCAGGGACGATGCTCTCCGGCATTACTGCACTTCTTGTGTAAACAACAGCACCACCATACCCATCCCATGCGTCATTCTTTCCTCTGTAATACACAAACACATAGTCATCTGGTTTATTTTCAATCTGGGAGGACAAGATATACCTGCAATGATCATCAGCAAGATCCGATCATTAACCTAGTGCGCAAGTATGCAATCTGATTGATTACCAAGAAGCAGAACAATACTAAGAATCACATGGTGTTTCATATATGAATCAAGAGTCATGTCATTCATTATTGTCCAGAAATTCAGTTACTTGCTATAAACAGTGCATTAGACAATCAACCAACTGGAATGAGCTTTCTTTGATTCTCTGCTGATTCTTACAGTAAGTGGATCAGTTCAAAGAAAAGTACCAGTCATCTTGGTAGTGAAGAAACTCATTGTCATGATTGTAGAGAATTCCTGGATATTTCGGGTCTTGCACAAATTTTTGCAAAGCAGTCCGAGTGAAGTATCCACTGTCCGGAGTTCGTATTCGCCATGATAAGTTTCCGACGAGTCTGTCCCCTTCAATGTGAAACTCATGCAATTGGCAGTCAAAGGTATCAAATGTTGGGTTTAAGCCACTGGTTATATACCACTTCCCACTGAAGTTTTTCATATCAAAACTTCTGACAAGAACTGCAGGATCAGGTACTGGAAATTCACCCACATCTGATTTTTGGGGTACACATTTTTTTCGAGAGACCGCACATTCATTGAACTGATCAACAACACTATTCTCAAACAAATCACCACATTTTATCTGCAAAAGGAAAAAAGATCATAAAAATAGGTGTTGGAAGACGTACAAGCATGAAGCTTTCAGCAGTACGCTAAGAATGTGAGACAGACCTGGCATTCAGTCTCGTCAGGTCTATTATTACAAGTTTGAAGACAAGCAACATTAGCTGCGCAAGCGGGGTTAGCAATGCACTTCACAAGCTCTAACCTGGGAACATCAAAATCTCTTCTTAGATAAGGCCCGATTGTTACCCCGAGTATATCATGCAGTTCGAAATTAAAACCTCAATTTCATTCCCTGATTATACCTAAGGTTCCTGTCAATATGACATTTTCAAAAGGGCAATCATCTTTGTTTATCAACTTGTAACTTTAATACGACTGCTCTGAGGAGGCATGATATTCAGTAAACAAATAAATTTGATCCGAAGGCATTTGTGTTTAATTTGGGAATAAATTTAAGTCTGGTGAAGGAAAAACTTGACATGATTTAAGATGTATAACCTTCTAAAAGCAAATTAATATGATGCTAAATTTGGGCAAAGAGGAAGAAGGTGTTCTCTAGAAACATTGACACCATCAAACTTCCAAAGGATGGTGTAATTGAGGCATCTTCTGTGCCGTTACATTCCAGGGAGACAGAAGGTTCATTTGATTGGATCATGAATGCAACAAACTTCAGGCTTAGCTCGATTCAAACAGAAGAACAAGCAAAAGAAATGAAGGAAAACGAGTGAGCTCTAATCCAACTTACTGTATTGACATTTTCCCTGGTACAAGAAATATATCTCTCAAATTACCCCTAACATGTAGGAGGGAACCAAAACTCAGTAAATGCAAAATCACTAATTTTGAGCTCAGTTCGACTTTAAAGTACCATCGTACTGAAAACTCATAAATCAGCTCTGCCCTAAGAGAATTGTATTCAAGGTCAACTTTACATATGCTAAATACGTAACATTGTTTACATGGTAAGTAAAAGGGTATGAGGGATTGACAGATGATGGGGTGCCATACCTGCACTCCTTCAATAAGCACGTACAAGTTTTTAGGGCATCTACAGCATCAGCCTTTGGAATGATTATCAATGCAAATATTAACAAGATTGCAACTTTGGTGGACTGGCTGCATTGATTTGACATGTGAAGAATCACTTCCTTCAAATGACCAATACGTCCTTTGGTCTGCATACAATTTTTTGCCATGATAAGACAGAATATTACAATGATTTACCACTTTTGCAGGACAAATAACTTGGAAGAAGCAACAAATGCAGAATTCATTAGACCACCTTAAATAGATGTAGAGAACTCACCTCAGGTGTGTTTCTGCCGATGCTATCAGTAGAAGTTGCCATTCCGTTGGAGAACAGTTTAGTGCATTTGGAAACTAGTCTCCAACATGTATCAACAGCTTTAGGCATCTTCCAATTCGTGGAAACCCATTTTCCAGACCGCATGTTTATCAAAAATACATTTCTATGGTTTTGGGATTTTACATAAAGACGAATGCTCTCATTATTTGAGCGAAAGACAGAACGAAAAGCAGAAGCCATGCTGCGAACTCCACCAAGAAAAGACTTCCAAAATCTAAAATATCACTTCTTTATTGACAACCCAAATTCCAGATGTTCACAGGTGCCTGGTGTATATACAAGATTTCCAGGTAGCGAGTGCCTGAAATACATAAAAAATGAACTACTTCACAGGTGCCTGGGCATTTGCAGACCAAACTTAAAGTGAAAGGGTCACCAACCAATAGACTCAAAGACAGATGCAGACAATTAGGTATCTCCAATTGGGTAAAACATATTCTAGGATATCCACAAGCACAATCCAACACCATTTCTAACTTCACTCCTCAAAAACTAGTTTCAGGTCCACACAGGTTATCCACAAAAAAAAAAAAAAGAAAGAAAAAGAAAAATAGGAACTTTATTCACAAAGTATGAGGGAAACAACCAAATCTTAACGTTTACTCCAGTCACAAATTGAAGAAAAATGCACAATTGGTTCTATGCCCAAAAGCAGGGCAGATATCATGCAGCATCAATGTGTAATTTAACGACACATGGGTCAGCCCCTAATCAATGATCCCACCAGAATAAGTTGGAAGAAACCCAGAGAGCTAGTTAGCTCAAGAATTAAAAATCCCGGATTTTTTTTGAATTAAAAACAAAATAGTAAGCAACGCAAATATTTTAACTTGTTTCTAACAAAATTGAGCAGGAAGCATGGGATGGGGAGCATTGCAAACATGTCATTTCTCAACAGTACAATCGAAATTGGAGTTGTGAAGAAACATAGAAAAAACCTGGTAAGTTGAGCAGCAGAGGTGGACGACGAGAAGAAGAAGTAAGTTCCACCAGCACATTGCGGGAGACCTTTGCAGTGTTTGACGTGGTAATAAAAATTTTAAAAAGTTTGGATGATGGTTTGGGATAAGGGATTTTGTGATGCATATTGATTATTGAGAAGCCTTTTCCCCCAAAAACTTTTTGGGCTGATTTTGTTGGAAATATAGGGTCCATCGGGTTTCTTCGATACGGGTCAGTTTTGCTTCTATGAATATCGGCCCAAAGACAGACAATATCGCCTTCCTTCCCGAGCACAATCATTTTTTGAGTCTCGTGAATGAAAAGAATAATGTTAGAGAGTTTTTCTATCAAAAAGAGATTGACCAGACCAGAGCAACAAAGAGTTGAGTTTGATCATCAACACTCTGTATAGCAAGAAGGAAAATTTCCTTAGAGCATTGATCAGCTTCACCTCTCATGCATAGGACAATTTCCGGTTCGAGAGTCTGATGTGAAGCGTAAAAAAAGGGTGTTAGTTTTTGAAGCCACCATCTTTACTACTCAAAGCCACCTAAAAAAAATTGGACCATTTTGCCCTTGACATTTCAAACTTCAACCAAAGGAAAAAAGAGAGAAAACTTGAAGTCACCTTCCTTCTAAACCCCAATTTGAAGTCTAATTTGATCCAAAATTGATGGTAACACGGAAGAATCAAAGCGTGAAAGAGCCGATCTCATCACGAATACGTTTTTTTTTTAAAAAAATTTTTTGTGAATTGTAGAAAAAGAAAAAAATTCGGCCGCGAACGCGCAAGGAAGTCGTCCGGCAGTAGCACCGACGCGCAAGAAACGCGTCCCGCTTCAACCGGAACGAGCAAAACGCCCGTCCGGGTTGAACCGACGCGCTTTCTTGCGCGTCGGCTGCGCCACCGGACGGCTTCTCCGTTCGGCGGCACTGTAATGCTTTTCCTTTAAAAAAAAAAATTATTTAATTCGTTATTAGTGTTTAATTATGTTTAATTTAATATAATTAGGGTTATAATGTAGTTATTTATTAATTAATAGTTTATGATTTAGATTGAGGTTCTCTATTAGTTGGTTATTTAGTTTAATTGTGTAAATAATTTAATTTGATTAGTTTGTAAATTAGTTGAGTTTAAAAGACTAATTTAATTAATAGTAGATTAGTTCACTTCTAATTAGTTTAATTGATTAAATTACTTAATTTAAGTAGTTATTAAAGTACTTAGGTTATATTTTTAATTTAATTAATAGTAAATTAGTAAAGCTAATCTAATTTGTTTGTAATGTAATTTATGATTAATTAAATTAATATAAATATTTTGTAAAATAATTGAGTATTTTGGTCTACACCCATGTTTAGACATACCATGTATAAGTTGTTTCACTCTATCGCTAAGGCCCTTCGTGGGATGATCTTCGTCAAACAATTCGTGCTTATGCATTCCAAACTCACCAGGATACACCAAAATACGCCACTTTCCATCAACTAAGTGCACATATAAATTAAATTTATACCCAGTATTTTGGATTAATTAAATTAAACACACATTCCAATCATTTAAAAAGATATACAATTATAATAAATAATAAAAAATATACATTTACAGTAAAAGATTAATTATAAAAATACAAAAATCAACTAATCCAAAATTATTTACTAAATTAAATTTCCCAATACCTACCTAAATAGCTAGAATTCATAAATTTAGCGATTAATTAAATATTTAATTAATTACATTTCCAATTATTTAATTATTTAATTCCCTCCGAAATAAATATTATTTCTAATTAATTAAACCTAAATAAATAAATAAAATTCGACTAATTAAATTACTTAACATAACTAATCAAATTAACAAATAAAAATAATAATATTATTACTTAATTAAATTAACATAACATGCAATAAATAAATAAAATTCAACTAATTAAATTACTTAACATAACTAATTAAATTAACAAATAAATTAATAATATTCCTACTTAATTAAATTAACATAACATGCATGAATTAAAATTAAAAAAATTAAAAAATTAAAAAATTTAAAAAAACTGTTCACCGAACCGGCCCGTTTGGTTGGACCGGGTTCAATGGCCGGACGCGCAACACACGCGTCCGGGTTGAACCGGGGACGGGCAAAAAACGCGTCCCGGTTATTGAACCAGACGCGTTTGTTGCGCGTCCACGGTTCAACCGGGACGTGTGTGTCGCGCGTCCAGCCGTGAACGGGGACGGGTTTGTTGCGCGTCCGGCCATGAACCGGGACGCGTTTGTTGCGCGTCCCCGGTTCAACCGGGACGGTTTTCTTGTCCGGTCTTTTTTTTTTTTAAGTTTTTTTTTTTTTATTATGAGTTACTTATTTTGTTTCTCTCTCTAAAGTCATAAATTACAGGGGCAAAATCGTCCAAATATTTTTTAGGTGGCTTTGAGTACTAAAGGGGGTGGCTTTAAAAATCCATCCCCTAAAAAAACTCCTCTTTTCCTTCCTTGGCTCCTATCAAAGGCTTGTGTTTGTTTGACAATAGCTTCGCTTTCAGACTGCGAATCTATTCAAGATTTCCTCTTGGGTAGAGCCAGGTTTAGAATGCTAACAAGCCCACCTCTTTCCTCTCCTGGCTTTTGTTTGGAGTTTTTGACCTAAACAATTTTCTTTAAAAAAAGGTAGACCAAATTAATTTTTTTGAAATTTTTGTGGACAAATCTATATCCTTCGGATTTCAGAAATCCGAATCCGAGGTAAACTCGGATTTCGGAAATCCGAATTTAATAGAAAACGGATTTTGAAAATCCGAATTCATTTTAATTAAAACTAAAACTAATTATCCGAATCCGAGGTAAACTCGGATTTCGGAAATCCGAGTTCTCAATTTTAACTATAACTCGGATTTCGGAAATCCATGGGATATATTCATGTCCACAAATATTCTGAAAAATTTAAATTTGTCCACCTTTGTTTTAATTAAATTTTTTAGGGAAAAGACCCCTTTTGTTTGCCAATATACCTTTCTCAGGCTTCCGGTTGAACTGTTGAATTTAAATGATATTAGTTTTGGAATGAACCAAAGCACACCCAGGCCACATTACAACAGAGTACCACACTACAAAGGACAACTTAAAATTTGATAATCTAAAAGTAATGCTCTTTTAATTTTTTTTTTCAACACTTATCGAGTGAAAATAAAAATACTCCTTTAATATATAGTATGATTATAAAATTTTTAATATTGAAAATTATTTATAAAATACATCGAAATACAAATTGGTCGCGCAATGCGGGACTACAAGCAACCTAGTAAATAAGTAAAAATCTAAAGTCAGAACTCAGAAAATGAGAGATTCCAAAAACAATTCAAAACTGATAATAACAATTATAAATTCTGAGATTTCAAATTTCAGCTTTTTCACTTTTTTTTTTTTTAAAAAAAACCCATGGGTTCCACCATCTCACTAATTTTTTCTCCCCTTTTATGTTACAGTGAAACAATTCTACAGTAAACCCTATACCTTAACATTTTTACTTAGAATAATTGATACTCCCTCTGTTCCATAATTATTACTTAAAATGAAATCTCAAACTGGACAATAATTTTGGGACAGAGGGGTATAAAATTTCAAAATTTTCTTGTTCTTTATTTTTATTACGCAATGGACCACTCTTTCAAAAATCCTAATAGTAAATTTATAAAATAAAAAAGAAAGAAGTCATAAAAGTTTAGAATTGGGATGGTTTGGGATTAGGGGATTTTGTGATGCACATTGATGATTGAAAAGTGTCATGATCTGGTTTATTCGGATCATTAATTTTAGAGTTCAGATTTTAAAGGATTAAAGAAAAAAGAAGGGGAGAAATTCATCAAAACCGGTAAATAAGTAAATTGAGGTGAAAAGGAAATTCAGAGGGAAAAAGGGATTTCAGATAAAATTCTTATCATTTTCATCGATGCCGATTACAATTTTCACTAACCTATTTAAGCTTCTGAAAATAACTCTTAAACTAATTACTATGATAGTCCTTGCAAAACTGATATATTCTAAATAGACCCCTAATAAAAAGGAGCGTTCCTGACAAGAAACCTTTTCCCAAAACTTTGGGTCGGTTTTGATGGAAAGGGTCCATTGGATTTTATGGACCAGTTTCCTAACCAGTCTAACTCCAGCAGGTTTCTGGGCTTGGCCCATCAAGATGGAATATCAAGCTTTCTTTGAAATATATATATATATATATATATATATATATATATATATATATATTATTTTTCCTCAAACAGGCAAAGAACCAATCAGGGTTTAATGATCCATCACCACTCCAACTAAAAAGTGCGACGCCCTGAATCAATCATTAGCCTATCATACGCGGTTGGATGCAGTCTTGCGTCAATATGCATCAATTCATTGAGCTTTGATTTATATGTCTCTTCTGTTCTTCTCTCCCGTGCCATTATATAGAGTGGTCCATTTTTTCCTTACGTACCTAATCCGTTAATTATTTATTTATTTACTCCTTCCGGTCCTTAATATAAGATATTTTTATTTATCCTAGGTTTCACCTAATATATATTTTATATTGACAAAAAAACCTTAAAAATATTTTTTAACAATCAAAAGGACACAACGAATGTGAAAATGTATTTTTAAGATTTTTTTTGTCAATTAAATACACGTATTAAATAAAACTAAAATAAATCAAAATGCCTTATATTAAAGACCAGAAGGAGTATTTTTTTTCTATAGTTTTTCGTTTCATATTCTCTCCTTTGTTGTTCCACTTCACACAAGCATCTCATTTCATTTTAGCATACTTCATATAACGAAAAAATGTTTTTGTTTTTGTTTTTTGTTTTTGTTTTTTATAGTTGTTTGGACATAATTAGTACTCTGTCTCCAAACAACTCATTATTGTAATAAATTTTGATATATATATATATTATTTTTCTAAAATAGCGCGAGTATTCAATTATCTAAAATGATAATTTTATTAGTATTTATTTTATTTGGTGTGGCCTAGTGGGAATTAATCGCTTACATCTAAAACTAGTGATGTCTGATCGCGCAATGCGCGACCCTGGCCCAATATATCTGTAGATTTTAGAAATATTTGTATCTGAAAAAAAATCTATTTTGTATTTGGTTCGATATATTTTAGAAATGTTTGAAGAATTTAGAAATATTTTATAAGTGTGATCACAGAAATGTTCGTATTTGGCATAAAAAGAAATTGTATTTGGTTTGGTACGTTTTAGAAATGTTTGAAGATTTTAAAAATGTTTTATATGTGTTACTTCTTAAATATAAATAAACTTGATCAAATATATGTCTTGAAGTAAATGCAAGACAAAATATAAAAGCATCCTCATAAGTTTAAATATTAGTAAGATAATTTATTGATGTTCTCCATTGGTTGTGCCAAATCAATACTTAGTTTTGGAGATTTATAATAGCTTTGTAGTAAGCTTCCTCCAAAGGATATACGCTTAATTGTTGAAACTATTTCTTTCAAAAGTTTATAGGTAGTAAAATATCAAAAATATGATTTTGAAACTGGTTAATTGTTGAAACTGGTTGATCACAAATATGAGAATAAAAATAATGTAAATTTACATAGGTTTCAAGTTATAGCAAAAAACAACTCACCTCACCATGGCAAATTAAAAAAAGAGAGTAAAAGATAGCCCATTAAAAATTCAAAAATTTATTTTTTTTTTCTGTAGGTAAAAATGATGTATAAAAACACAAATAAACGTAGAAAAATCATTCCTTCCCTCTCCACCTCAAATTCATAAAAAGCTTCCCCATAAATTAGTTAGAAGAAGCGACCTGAACTATTTATATGATAAGGAACTAAAAAAAGTCCAAAAACTAAATCCAAAAAGAAGTATATTCTTGAAAGACCGAACACAAAAGAAAGCATTTCATTTGTAGATAAAATAAAATAATAATAATTGGTCAATTGGGAGTATGAAACAAAATCAAAAGCAACTAAAAAAAGAAAAAACAGACTTCATAACTGACCATATACGAAAAAAAACCTGAAACTCCATAATTAAAAAAAGAAAACCAGTCTAATTGAATGAAACATAAAAAACAAATTTAAAAAACCACACTTTGTAACAAAAACCCAATTAATCAATTCAATACAAACAGAACTAAAATCATACAAAAATTCTAGGCTAACTAACTATATAAGAAATCACATCATATTACCTAACAGCGAATACGGTAGCTGTAACGGATGAACGCATAAAAATAATAGTAATAACACTATTCTTGAACTGGAAAAACAAAAAATAATAAAAGCCAAACAAATGATCTGCTGAAATAAAATCATTTAAATTTTAATACCCGTAATGGCACCACCATAATGGCCGAAGCAAAGAAATAAAAACATAAAATAAAACATATTGTTGCACATCATTGTTGTGAAAATTATTGAAAAAAAATTAATCACGATCACCATTAATCACCTTAAAATTTTTATCTGGTATATTTGTATCCTCATCCTCATCCTGAATAATTGATTGTAGTCGATTGTAGCTGTTGTCAATTGTAGTTAAGGGACTACAATTTTTATCTGATTAGAAATGTTGTGAAAATTATTGAAAAAAAAATTAAACACGATCACCATTATGAAGGAATGATATTTCGACAATTGACATTTTCAGGTCTTCGACCCGGGGAGAGGGGGGGAAGGGGCTACATTTCAAACCTATTAAACACGATCACCATTAATCACCTCATAATTTCAAATATCAAAAATATAATTTTGAAACTGGTTAATTGTTGAAACTGGTTGATCACAAATATGAGAATGAAAATGATGTAAATTTGTATAGGTTTCAAGATATAGTAAAAAAGAACCCACCTCACCATGACAAATTAAAAAAAAAGAAGGAAAAGATAGCCTATTAAAATTTGAGAATTTTTATTTTTTCTGTAGGTAAACATGATGTATAAAAACACAAATAAACGTAGAAATATCATTCCTTCTCTCTCTACCTCAAATTCATAAAAGGATTCCCCATAAATTAGTTAAAAGAAGCGACCTGAACTATTTATGTGATGAGGAACTAAAAAAAATCCAAAAACCAAATCCAAAAAAGTATATTCTTGAAACCTCGAACACAAAAAAAGAAACGTGCTTTATTTGCAAATAATAATAATAATAATAATAATAATAATAATAATAATAATAATAATAATAATAATTGGTCAACTTAGAGTATGAAACAAAATTAAAAGTAATTAAAAAAAGAAAAAACACACTTCATAATTGGCCATATACGAAAAAAAACCTGAGACTCCATAATTAAAAAAAGAAAACTACTCCAATTGAATGAAACATAAAAAACAAATTTAAAAAATCACACTTTGTAACAAAAACCCAATCAATCAATTCAATCCAAATATAACTAAAATCATACAAAAATTCTAGGCTAACTAACCAAATAAGAAATCACATCATACTTCCTGACAACGGCTACGGTAGCTGTAACGGATGGATACATAAAAATAATAGTAATAACACTATTTTTGAACGGGAAAAATAAGAAATAATAAAAGCCAAACCAATGATCTGTGGAAATAAAATTATTTAAATTTTAATACCTGTAATGGCACCACCACAATGGTCGAAGCAAGATCAATGAGAATTTTTTTTTTCCTTTGTGTTTATATAGAGAGGTAAAGAGAATATTTTTTGAAGTTGAAATTTTATCCGATTAAGATGTAGTTGATCATCACTAATGAAAAGATTGAACGTGCTAATAGGAAAGGAGTATATTTCACCACATATTCTCAATTGATGATTGATGAGAAATTTTTTTTTTTAATTGTGGAGAAGGGATTGATTAAGGAGTCGATTGTCGTGGAGATGGGGATGAGGATTTGAGTTTTTTATGAACCCGTGGTTTTTTTTTTTTCTTTTGTTTTGATGAAATAGGAGGTGGAAATGAATTTAGACTGCATTTACTTTTTAAATTTAGGAGATGTGGTAATAAAAATTTATTTTGAAAATATGATGTGGAAATGCCACATGGCAAATGATGGTGCTTTCTCTTAAGTGTGGTTTTTGTTTCTAATATATATATATATATATATATATATATATATATACACACACACACACGGCACTATTCGCACGTTAATTTTATTTTTTTATATTACGGTAATATTTGGAAAACTCCAGAGCAGCAGAGCGGAGCGGTGGTGAGTGGTATCTCGAGTATCGACGATGTTTCTGACAGAAGAACAGCTCGAATCAATCCAAAGAAAAAGAAGAGCATGCCTTCTGGCTGCCGGCGAGCCAGATCCAGTCTCTGAGCCAGAGGTGTGCCCGGACGAAAACATGTCCCCTATCGTTTCGACAGACCCCGATGAGGAATTGTTTGAGAAATTCGACAAAAGCCTGGTACCGTACTCATCTATTCATTATGTCTCTTTTAGTTTCATGCATGGATTTTTCTTTATTGGGATTACGGTTTTGATTGTTGATCCGATGATAAATGGCCTGGCTCCCGTATCTTTTTCTAGGGTTTTGTTTTCTGATTCCGATTTCGACTCCTCATTTTTTGGGGATTTTGCTTTTCTTGCTTTCAATTTTGAATCTTTCATGATTGAGATGTGTATAATACCCAAGGCTACAGCCTCAAGTTTCTGATGGAGTAATTTGTGCTAGGCTTATGGTTTCCCTCAGTCCCAGAGAAGATACCATGGACTACTTTTTCTTGGACGGAGGGATTACATTACAAAGAGTAATATCTAATGGAATGATTTGTGCTAGGTTGCTGTGCCAAAGTCAGTGGAGACAGTGGATCCAAAGATATGCACGGACCAAACACCTATAGGCTACATGCTTCCAAGAATCGGTCTCGATGAGAATTCTGATTGGACTCCTCAGTTGGTGCACTACAGCGGAAAAATTCGCAAGATGATGAATAAAGTGGCCAAGAGATTCATTCGTCAAATCAAGAACAGCCGGGTACCCTAAACATCTTATTTCTTAATGTTCATTTAATTTCATGCATTGCTTCTTTATTTGAATTACCGTCTTGTTTTGTTGTTGATCAGATGATAAAGGGGATGATCCCTTCTACTGATTATATCTTTACTAGTGTTTTCTTTTCTGATTTCGATTTTGAATTCCAAATCTTTAAATTGAGATGCATAATTTAAAGGCTAAAAGCTGTATCTCTAATGGACTGATTTGTTCTAGGGTTATGATTTGGACGTCCTGCCTCCTGAGTGTATGTTCTGTCCTTTAATTCCAGAATTATGGTTCAAAAAAAGTTTAAGTATGTATGCCAAAGTCAAGAACGCAACACAGTTCGTCATCAAGACTGGTCTCAATCGGGATAAAGTAAGTGATACCTCCACTTAATTCCTTAACCTACCACTGTGAATGCTAGTTTTCACGATTTTTTGAAGTTCATTCATTTTGCTGGTTTGTTTTGCGTAATTTTGTCAGACGCACAAACCATACGAGCTCGTGGACATTAAGAAAGTAGTTAGCACCGGTGGCTACTGGCATTTGCTTTTGACCTTTACTGTTAAGGAAGTTGACACCCACGTTGGGGAAGATGATGAGCCCTTCGACTACGGGGTTGTGGACGATAAAATCTATGATGACAAAATCGATGATGACCTTCCCAATCCGGATCTTGTAGAGATTGACTATGACAATGACAAGGATAGTTTGTTTAACTATATCAGCAAAGGCGACGGTGATGGTGATGTTGATGGTGCTCTGAAAACCTACCAAGCTACTGTGTATGCGCCCCCGTTGATGAAAATTATTAGTAGTAATTTTGAGATTGATTATAAAATTATAGAGGTGGGAGAGAAACCAATTCGCCCTCCTCAATGCTAGCTAGAGGTGGTGCAGTTATACCTCAGATGATGATGTTTGGTTTTCGACCTGCTTTTGGAGGCATTTGCTCAGTTTTTATGTCTGGTTGTTCTATTAGTTATGGTAGTATTATTATGGTTCTGTTTGGACATTATGTTGGACAACTATGTGGAATCCTTTGGGCACTGAGGCATGTTTTATCCTTATTACTTAAATAAAAGGTACAGTAGGCAAGAAATAATGCTCAAGAAATATTCAAAGACCATCGTCAAATTGATCTCGGCAGTCGGATGGGGTAAATATGACGTCAGTGACTTATTAGGGTTAAAATCGAGATTTCATAAATTCAGCATATCCCAATAAAAAAAAAACTCATAAGCCTTTGAGGGGAAAAAATCCCAAACAAGAAAATGTGAAGCCTTAATTCGATATTCGAATATGGGCAAGTTTGGGGTTGTTTTAGGGTTTCATTCATCTTGTCTTGGTAGTTTTCACTGGTCGTATTCTTTTTGATTAAGGTATTTTCTAATTCAACCCATCTCAATTAAAAAATTCTCGCAAGCTTTTGGAGTAAAACAATCCCAAACAAAAAACGACCTCGTCTAACATGAACAAAATTTCCCATCACCCCGCCGTTCTCCACATTTTCGACTTCCCCTTTCGCCGCTTCTCCCTTCAACACCCTGCGTCAAAGATTTCCCCCTTCGCCTCTTCTCCCCTCGCCACCCTCAGTCTAAGATTCAGCCTCTACATTTTCGAAAGAATCAGACTATAATTGCGACCAGCTGGTGGAGACGGAGGCTAAGTGATTGGAGGTGGTGCTGGAAGTGGTTGACGTTGTTACTGGTGGTTGTGTAGCGGTGGACTTGTGGCAGGCTTTGGAGGTCGGCTTGTTGTAGGAGGAACTGGAGGTGGTGGATTTGGTGGCGATAGTATTGGGCTAGCAATTGGCGGAGGTGGGGGATTTGTAGCCGATGTTCTCGAGGACGGAGATGGGGGACAATATTAGCAAAATTTCCTTTTGCTAATTTGTATTACATTGGGTTTAGAAAAATTACCAATTTCCTGATTCTATTACAATTAAAAATTTTTTATTACAATTGATTCTTCTAGAATTGTATAACAATTGGGAAATTCTTTCATTGGTTACCATGTCTATAAATAGCAGGATTTGTTAGAACTACAGCCACATCGACTCTAAAGCTTGAAGCCACACATCTCTGCTTCGAGCTTCCAGACCACGGGGATTTTTGAAGCTTTCAACTTTATCCGACTACAATTAAGGATTTATTTCAAGATTTTCCCTACATTAATTTACGCATCTCAGGTACGATTATTGTGTTTATTCCTTTTTTCTTGATATGTACAACAGTGATTTTATGTTGACTATTTGCCATTGTTTTGACAAGTTTTTGTTTTATATGATATTGCGTTGTTTTTTCAAACTCTTTAAGAAAGGCATAAGTTCTAAGGTTTACCACGTGCAAATTGATTCTTGTTATTATGCTGTAAGTTGTTTTTGCTATTTGTACCTATATAGGTATTTGGTATTTGTTTAAATTATTAGTAGACAATTGGATGTTAATGATATCGTTTTGGTTCAGTCCATGGATCCAGAATACTTTAGCTATTGCTATTGTGATTTTTCTGGGTTGCGTCTTTACTTTCTTATATCGCAATAGATTGTTCTCCCAATGAATTTGGTCACTTATGCAGACTCTTTTTGGTGATACTGACTACACTGTAGTTGCAAGTTTTAAACTTTTTTCCCTTGTTTTTGCCCCCCTTGAATTAAACAGACCAGCTTTACATATGAAATAAGTTTTTAAGTTGTTAATGAGAGGCCTTCTTATTCTAATAGCAATATAAATTGGTACGTGACACTAATGCCTTGAATTTAGAGTAAATTTCCATACATTTAGAGGGCTTCATTATATCGATTATCACGATGGCCATTGCCCAGCATGATGTTATAAAGATCTGCTTTTAATCTGCCACATCTATCCGTGACGTGTTTCTCTTCCCTGTGTTAATTCGTTAACCTTGTGTGTACCGCCAGCCAATGTGTTTGTATGTTTTGATAAGTTGAGAGGGTTGTATTTGGCCGAATAGTGCGTGTATCTCGTCCATTAGTAATTGGCAATGTTTTTACTGCATTGGCCTTGTACCGTACCTTTTAAATTACTTGAAAGTTGAAACCTTCAGGTGATTTAGGTTAAAAAAAAATGTATGCATAAATTTTGAGTAGCAATTTTTTGTTTTTCTTTTTTATTCAGGTTCGAGCGAGCTTCGTTTTCAGGTTTGATATCTGATATTCAATGAATTATGCGCTTTGATATTTTGTTGCATAAGTGCTTATATGGGTATAACAAAACTAATTGAACCGTAAGAGCATAAACTTCCAAATTGATGGTGCATAATTGATTGGTTTTGTTGTTTGGTTTAAACTGAGCGTGTATCTAATTATTTCTCGTAGAAGCTGAAATTAAAAGAAGTTCATCTCATTTGTTTTAGGAGTCATGAGATTGAAAGCTACAAAGTTTCAGTCCAAGGGAGGTTGTAAAGCATGTATTGCGCAGACTGTAGCATCACTGCAGAAGCTATTAACTTGACAAGTAAGAATACATCTAGATGAAAAGATAAAGACTATACACATAGCACAATTATATGTCCAGCTCCTTGTAATAATAAACGGTTATGATCCCTACTTGTCCACTGTTGAATATGGCTTTCATCAACATCGTCATAAAATTTCCTTCACAAGAAGCAACTTTTCCTAGATTTAGGGGATATTGTTTCAGCTTAACATGGAAGAAGTTTCCCAATCATCTACCGTACCTATTTATCTTGTTACGGTTCTTGATGTAAGTTACATGGAAGGTACCAAGATTGCATTATTAAAGCAGGCTATGGGGTTTCTGATACCAAACCTTGGTCCCAATGGCAGGCTCTTCGTCGTCGCCTTCTCTCACAATTGTCGGCGTCTATTGCCGCTTCGTAGGATGTCTGAATCAGGAAGGTTGGAAGCACTAGAAGCTGTTAATCATCTAGAGCAGCTGGGGAGGGACTAACATTGCTCAAGGGTTGTGCAATGGCGCTAAGGTTGTTAATCGTCTAGAGCAGATGGAGGGACTGACATTGCTCAAGGGTTGCGCAACGGCGCAATTGAGCCCAAAGTACTTCAGACATTGGTGATGGAAGATCGCAGGTACAAGAATCCTGTTTCCAGTATTATATTATTATATGATGGACAAGACAACAATGTCTCCATGAAACAGCCTCAAGTTTCATGTCAATGGGAACTTCTTGAAGCCATACAACATCAAGTAATCAACCAATGGAGTGAATAGTTGTATTGCAATGAACCTAAATGTGTAGTTCACATTAACTGAAGAGCAAATTGTACGTGCTATGAGTTATAAGGAAGAACAGTAGAAGTTCTACAATCTGACTGCAGTATGATTAACATTAATAATTCTCTCACCAAAATAAAAGTCATGGTGATTTCATAGCTTGAAGCCTCATGTTAACTGATATAAAATATTCTAACATCGAACAAGAATTATATGATGAATTATATCCTACTGGACTCCATCCTTGTTATAGTTTTAGGTAGTTGGAGAGAGACCCTCTAGAATCAAAGAGTTTAAAGGATGCCCTGTGAAAAGTCTAAGCTCAATGATTATTAAACAATCTTTGTCTGATGTTAGTAGGCCGTTAGCTATTGCTACAAGAGCTGTGCAAATTAATTATTGATTCAGTTGTTAACATGCATGAAAGCATTGTGATTCAGGCGTTTTGGGGTTCTAATTTCTTAAAAATTATAAAAATGGTGTTCAACAATAATCTTCTGTTTCACCATTAAAAAAGCTGAACAAAAAAGGTTTTGTGACTTTTAATTACGAGAATGGTACAAAATGATTCGATAAAAACACTGGCCGCGCACGCGCGACAGGTAAAATACTAGTTTTCAGTAATTTGTGGCTTAGATTATTGAAAACTTGGCTTTTTTTTATTTTTGTGTTCTCACTTTCTCATTTTATTGATACTTTGTCTTCGAGTGGGTTTCGGTCCTGAGGTTTTAGGTTAAGTACTGCCTTCCTAAATCTTCATGATTTAACAGCAGCCCTTACTGTGTTGTCAAATATTTAGTTTATGGGGGTCTCTTCGATTGACATTTGTTATAACTTCCTAGTTGTTTCAAAAGATTTGTTCACGTAGTAAGAATGGTGATGAAATTCTCAAATTTACTGTTATGGTTCAGGATTGATTTATGTGCTTTTGATTAGGAATAGTTTAGGGTTTAGCTCATGGTATGTATCTAAGTGATTTAAAGTTGACCATTTTAGAAAAGGAGATGCTTGATGATTGGCAAATTGGCAATTCACCCGCATGCGCGGCAAAAGCTTTTGTGCTGCTTGATCACTGTGTCCACAGGGGCATAGTGTTTGCTTCTTCATAGTTGTCCCGCAATCAATGGGTGTTTTTCTTCTGTTGCAAGGTGAGTTCGGTACTCACTTGTGTCCAGGTGTCCAATTTTATTGATCCTATCTATTTTGAGTAGTGCACCCTCTGTTCCTGTAAACTTCCGGTTTAAGTTCATTTTCACGAGCAAGGTAAAATTGTCTTTATATGGATAGATTGAATGTGAGTTTGAAATTTCTACCTGATCTTTTTAGGTTAGAATTAGAAGTTTCTTGTGCCTCTTATTTGAGTGTTAGGGTCCTTAGGGAAGTGTTTTGTTTAGAGCCTCCGTGCCCCTAGATGAAGCACTAAATTGGTATGCACGGTTAATTATGAATAATGACAGGGAGTGATGCGGTTTTAGTCCAAGCTATCGGCTGAATGCAATTTCGCTCATAACATCTCCCGAGTAATAATGTAATATCAAGAGTAGTTTTGATTTCACCCTTGTACGCAAGAAGCTCTAAAATTGCCAAAATTTTGTATCAAATGGGGAAAATCTCAATGGAACTAAATGGAAAAATCATGTAATGAAGTATAATCATGTGGAAAATTAAACAGTAAGAGCGAGAGTAAGGCAATCGAAAAGGGAGAAAATCATGTTAATCAATGGAGGAAATAAATGTGGAAAACTAATTAGTAAGCCTAATCCCATCGATCGGGAAGGTAGCATACACCTTCACTCCGACCAAGAATCCAAGGTGACATCGACGCTCAGAAAAATAAAACCACATGCTAGAATGTTATTCTCTTTGTCTTAAAATTTTTGTTCAGTTTGAAATTTTATTTTTAGTACAATTTAAATTAAAAATGAAAATTCAAACTGAACAATGATTATGAGACGGAGGGAATAATCAGTTATTAAATATCAAATTGGATTTTAAAGAGTAGCTAGTTTTATTTGCAATGTATTAAACTCCAGTGCTCTGGTTTTTGTAATCTTGATGCAGCACTAACGTTTGTCGCTTTGATGATGGTACTCATCATTATGGTTTGTAGGTAAGTGTTTGTAAGTTGGTCTAGTTCCAAAGAATTTATAAATCACCTCTGAATAACTTTTCTAGAGGATAAGGATTAAGGACACTGTAGAATCAAGTGCAGGTACCCAAAAAAAAAAAATAAAAGAAAAAAGAAAAAAAGTGCTGACGTATTTTGGGATAGCGCGAATGTAAAACATTTCGTTTTAGGTGCAAAGTGAAGATAAGTTTGAGAGCAAAGTAATTTGCAACGAGAAGTCAAACGGCAGAAAACTGAAGGGAACAGAAATGATGAACTTATGACGTGATGTTATGTCCATTGCAATTTGCAAATGGAGTGGGATGAACCATCTGATAATTCTTTTGGCTTGTCTGTATTAAATAGTATTACTTCTTTTTCATTATTAAAGTTGTATGGAAACAAATATATTAATAAGGTAATGTATTTAAAGAGCAAGTGCAGTGGTTGTAAATGGTATTGAAACCGTGTTATTCTTGGATAAATGCTAAGGATAGTGTATTCGAAATGACCAGAATAAGAGATGAAAAAATTTAGGAAAAATTCGAAACTCGTGAAAGACATGATTTCTTTAAGACGGATTAACCGTTTCTCGAATGTGTAAGAGATTTAGTGAGCTTTTATCTCTCAGGATACAACAAATTCGTAAAGATTCCTTTGCACTAAGGATCTTCACCAGCAAACTAGAACTTTAGAACTGAAGAACACCAAAAGAAATAGGCTAGAAAGGTTAAGAAGAAAGTTTAGAAGGCTTTTGAAAATTTTTGAATGATTCGTTTGTTGAGAATGAGCCACTATTTATAGGTGAAGAGTTACTTGAAGTAATAGAATTGTTCAATTCATTTTTCCAAGTTAATTTAATTAACTTAGTTAGATACAATGTTTCACCAAAACCAAAAAGGTTCCATGCATGAACTTAATCTAATTATGAATATGAACACTCATCCTCCTTGCATTTCATTAATATTGATTCATGAATTTAGTTCATTCAAATGAATCTGCAAGAACTCTTCATCTATTTCGAAAATGAATCAAGATAGGTTCATGACTCGGGTTGACCAGGTCTGACGTACTCATGAACTCAAATGCTTCATACCTTTCACGTAGTCTCTAATTTCATTTTTAATTAATGAGAAGCCAAAATTCTCATTCACACTAACTCAAATTCAAACACTTACGACCCCAACTTACAACCCTAGTCAAACCTCCCCCGTCAGAGTGAGTTGAGTCATTCTTTTGCATTAATTTCTTACTTCCCTACAAACTCCTGCAAAATGGGTCGCAAAAGATGGACCATCCTGATTTTTGGCATAGAAATTGAAGTGCCAAGAGATGAGGATGCAGAAATTAGCCCACTTAACTTATCAATTTTTGGTAAATCCAGTACAAGAAGTTATAAAGTAAAAAGAGTGTCATAAATTAATTCGAACCACAAGCTTGGGGGTAGATAGTACCATATTAACCCAAAATTGGAATTAGTAACATGCTTATTTAAATTAGAATGACCAAATTTTAATTTTGTAACTAAAACTCTTTCTTTCTGACACTTCTCTGAATCCAGTCTACAGTATAAGAACATAAGATAATTTTGGACATATCATAAATCTCATTCGGAACTCCTTTAGGAATGTGATTGGTATGTTTTGTCACTATGTGTTGCATTAGCAGGAAATGTGTTAAGAAAATGAATAAATTAAAACAATCTGTATTAGGTCGTTAACCTTACACTTTTTAGTATTATATATTGTCCATAATAATATGGTCGTAGCACTTGTTTTTTCACGTGAAATCAAGTCGTCACGCTTTCATTTATGATTAGTCAAATTTTTTATAATTAATTTAAAGAATTTATTCAGTTATCTCATTGTGAGGTCATGTTATAAATTTACTTTTCTAGAACTAGGATATCACTTCAATATGTTAGCAATTTAGGAAGATTCTTAATAAAATAAAAAAAAGGAATTTAGTATTAATTTTTTTTAAAAAAAACTTCAGTATTTATTTTCTGTTTTTTTTGCAATATTTTGGAATTGATTATTTCTTTTACATATAGTAGATTAAGCAGTCTCGTTATTTGAAAGCATGTAATGTAAAATTATTGATGAAAAAACAATGTAAACAGGTTGATGAATTTTTTTCCGTAAAGTGGCTAATTTCATTATCATGTTAAGAGATGTATATAAAACACTTTTTTTTTTTTTTGTATATTTCAGCAGTAGAGTTCACATTTTCAATGTCAATCTCCGAACTATGAGCTAATGTATTTTCATGCATTAAACCACTTCTACAGATGCAAATTAACAAGGAATGAAGAATAATTACTCTGGCGCATGCAAATACTAAGATTCAAGCAAATGCAAAAATACTACAACACAATGAGGATGATTTGCTTGTTCCCTTCAACTAGGTAGGACAATAGTCTTGTTTAAATGAGATTAACTTACAGGCAATTTAGTGACATAAATGATATCAGAAGTGCAGTGTTGCTGGTAACTATGCGCAAAATAAAGCAGATCTAGTAAAAAACAGTTACGAGTTTGTCGACTCGCAAATATTTTGAACAACGATGAATAAGAAAGACTACAAAAGCACTGGCTCCCCATATTGGATTAATTACATTCAACTCTATATGATTCTTTGCAGTGAATGGAATTTTTTGCTTCATCAGTTCAAATATGCTTGCAACAAACATTTTTCGATGAATTTGTAGGCACCTCGATAGGTGGGACAACTGGCTAAAAGTATTTAAGATTGCTCCATGTCCATGGCGAGGTTCGAACTCTCGACCGGGTGGAAGAGTCCCTTCCACTCCACCACAACCACTTTGGTTAACTTTCACTTAATTTGAATTTTCAATAGCTAGATTTGTGAGTCGGGGGTTGGTTCATTAGCAAGCTGGCCCGCTGCTCAGGGCTTTGGCAGATCCATATACAATTTTATTTATACCCATTGGTATTCTTTAATAAATAAAGACTAAAATGTCCAAATAGTCCCTTACATTTGAACCTATTTGAATTTACGTCCCTAACATTAACATTTCAATATTATAGTCTCAAACATTATGTTTTCAAACTTTTTTCGTCCCATTTTACTGTTTCCGGCCATTAACATGCCGGAATTAGGGGTATTTTCGTCTTTTGATTTATTTTGAATTTTTATTAAAATTTAAATCATTAAAAATATTTTAAAAATCAGATTTCATTATTCAATTATTAAAATATTATTTATCAATTAAAAATATTATTATAAAATTTCAAAATTTACATTATTTTTAAAATTAATTTTTTCATTTATCATTTACCTTAAGTACAAAGTAAATAGTAATTATGTCGTACTTTTAACTTTGGGCCACTATAACTTAAAAAATTTATCGAGTTACAGTAAATAATTCAAAATTCAATTTTTTTCTTTAAAAAAGAAAAAGAAAAAGCAAAATTAAGATTTTTTTACTTTGACCACTACAGTAAACCCGAAATGGCAATTATATTGTACTTTTAACCTTGGTCCTACTATAACTTAAAAAATTTACTAAATTACAGTAAATAATTCAAAATTCAATTTTTTTTAAAAAAAGCAAAACCAAGATTTTATTTTTTACTTTGACCGTTGCAATAAACCCTAAATGGTAATTATGTTATACTTTAATTTTAACCTTGGACCCACTATGACTAAAACAATTTACCGAGTTACAGTAAATATTTCAAAAATCAAATTTGAATTTTGAATTTTGAATATTGAATTATTTAATATAATTCGGTAGATTTTTAAAGTTATATTGAGCCCAAGGTTAAAAGTGCAAAATAGTTACCATTTAGGGTTTACTGTAGTGGCCAAAGTAAAAAATTCGGGTTTTGCTGTTTCTTTTTTTTTTAAAAAAAAATTTAAATTTTGAATTATTTATTGTAATTCAGTAAATGTTTTAAGTTACATTGAGCCCAAGGTTAAAACTGCAATATAGTTACTATTTGCAGTTTACTATAGTGGTCAGTTTACTATAGTGGTCAAAGTAAAAAAAATAAAAAATTTTGGTTTTGCTTTTTTTTTTTTTTGAATTTTGAATTATTTACTGTAATTCGGTAAATTTTTAGTGGGCTCAAGGTTAAAAATGCTACATAATTACTATTTAGAGTTTACTGTAGTCGGTCAAAGTAAAAAAAAAAAATCTTGCTTTTGCTTTTTCTTTCTTTTTTTTTAATAATAAATTTTGAATTATTTATGACTCGGTAAATTTTATAAGTTACATTGTGCCAAGGTTAAAAGTGTGACATTATTACCATTTAGGGTTTAATGTAGCGGTAGTCAAAGTAAAATGATCATGGTTTCACTTTTTCTTTAAAAAAAAAACATTTGAATTCTGAATTATTTACTGTAACTCGGTAAATTTTTTAAGTTATAGGGGCCCAAAATTAAAAGTGCGACATACTTACCATTTACTGTGTACCCAAGGTAAATAGTAAATGATAAAAGTAATTTTGAAAATAATAATAAATCTTAAAAAAATTTATAATAATATTTTTAATTAATAAATAATATTTTAACAATTAAATAATAAAATCTGAATTTTAAAATATTTATCATAATTTAAATTTTAATGGAAATTCAAATTAAATTAAAAGATGAAAATATCCCTGATTCCGGCATGTCAACGGCCAGAAATAGTGAAATGGGACCAAAAAAGTTTGAAAACATAATATTTGAGACTACGATGTAAAATATTAATGTTAAGGACGTAAATTCAAGTATGCCCAAATGTAAAAGACCATTTGGACATTTTACTCATAAATAAATATAAATTGAATATAAATACACCTCCCCTTGTAGGGAGTAAGTTTATTGATTACAATGGTAGAGTTGGAGGGTTTTCCGGAGGAGATATTGTGAATGCGCCAGATCCAGAGCCGGTGGAGCTAGAGTTGCCGACGAACGAAACACCAATTGGGTACAGGGCTTCCAAAGAACGGACTGGACGAGTATTCGGATTGGAGATTACGATTTAAACTTGCCCGACAAAATTGCCAGGCGATCGTCAAATCAAGAAATCCTGGGTACATAGGGGGGGCTTTAATTAATTTCCTTTGTCTGAATTTCGAATCTTCTTCAATATATACTTGAGAGATGTTGAATTTCTGATGGGTATTATATATATGAATGATGATTTGTGTGCGCTATAGATATTAGCGAAAAAGGACCAAAATGTGCTCCGAGAGCGTGGCCTTGGCAAAACTATGACTAGGCTTTCTGAGGAAGAAAGAAATATGTTTCTCGCATTTGACGAATGCGAAAAAACAGACTTCTGCATTTGGCGAATGCGAAAAAACAGACTTCTGCATTTGGCGAATGCGAAAATTTAAAGAATTAATTAAAATACATTAAAGACGTTGGATTAAAACTGGATAATCATAAATATTTTAAGTGTTCGCATTGGAGTATGCGAAAGTTAACTTTTCGCATATGCCATATGCGAATGTTTTAATTTTTTAAGGAATATTTAAAAAATATTTCCTAGTTTTAAATTGGTATAAAATAAAATGTTGTAAATTAAATATTTTGGATGATAAAATGTTGTAATATTTCAACTAAAAATTGCTATTTCAATTGAAAATTAAATTTTCTAAATTTAAAGTTTTCATTTGATTCTTTAAGTAAATTTATGTTAGTTCTAAATAGAATTACAATGATATGAATTATATTTGGTGAACAGAAATCGTATAATACATTTATAATAAAATTTGAATAATATGTAAATTAAAATTTTGGTGGAAAATTTGAATGTAATCTTGCCTTTTGTAACTATGTTTGCTTTTAAAAAAATTGACTTTTATTTGGTTTCAACTTAAAAACTAACCATCATTCAAAATAAAATGTCAAAAAATCAAGTTTAGTAAATTTTGAATAATAATTTTTTTTACATAATAAACTTAGAATCAATTCATTTAAAGTAAAAAAAAAAAACTAAAATTTTTAGAATCTGACATAATATAAAGGAAAATGGCAAAATTATAATGTGGTCAATGATCTCAGATCACATTCGCACAGTACTACAATGAACACTGAATAAGAAAGTGCTTCAATAAAACGCTCTTAAGAGGTTGTTTCCAAGAAGGCTCTTCCAGGTTGACGGTTAGCCAATGGTGCATGGCAACCAAGAAACTTAGCATTGACACCATCAGGAACAATCATGTTTTCTTCCTTTCATCTAACATAACCAGTCCTGCTAAAATTGGTAAAACCACACTTCCTTCTAACAATGATCTTTTGGCGACCTGGGAACTTGAACTTGGCTCGATGCAAAAAATAATATTGTATAAAAGTAAGAGTTTAGAAAATTGTACATAATATTGTCTTTTTGATAAATTTTCTTCTTTAATGTTTGCCTTTTATTTTTGTTAAACTTAAAACTATTGTATCATTTTAAAAATTCAAAAGCTCAAGTTTACTAAAGATTAAATAAAACTGAAATAAATTGTTAAGGAAAAGAAATGCAAGGAATTGTTTAAAACTAATAACAAAAGTTATAAAATAACATGAAATAAAAATACAATTCAATGTAATTTTTCTACTTCTTGCGCTTTTTCTCCCGAGAATCTCTCATGCAGCACTTTTTTTTCTTCTTTATGTTCCGCTGTCTCTTACACAAAGCAAGCAATGTAAAAGGCATGCTACCATCATTGGGGCCCTATCTCGGGCACTGGCTCGAGTTCTCACCCTGATCAGCGCCCTCGTCGTGATCCTGAGAGGAATGCTCAGCATCATCAGAATCATTGGTGCGCTCATCATCATACTCCTAATCCCGATTATCCTCCTGATCCTGATCATCCTCCTGATCATTATGGATATGGTCACCACCTAGATGCTGACTGTGATGACCATCCTCGTAACTAGTCTGAAAGAAACCCCCCGCATTAGGATCTAGATTAATAAAATCTGAATCAAAATGCATTTGCTCAAAAGGAGGAGAGGGATGGTGGTGTGGCGATGCTGGACGGTAAGGAGACACATGCGGGGTAGAAGATGGCTCGACAGTATCCTTGGTGGCCACCGATTTTCTCATCCTCGCACTCCCTAACTGAAACCCGCCTCGATCAGTCCTGGGAGGCCTAGGTGGGATATACTCCTGGGTTGGGTCAGCCGAAACAAAATCCTGGCTTGGGTTCTCACTATCAGCCTAAACAGATGTCTTGCTGATAGTCATTGCCTATTGTGTCAAATCGTGCAGCTGTAGGAAGGCATTGTGATTCCAAGAATCAGCTGGATTACGTTGTAGCCGATCTAGAGTAATCTGCCGCATGTTGCACTAAATTGGCCTGAAAATTATGAGAGGAAATAAATATATGGTAAATTAAAAATATAGTAAATATATTTTATAAATTAACATATATATTTTATATATTAACATATATATAATAAATTAAAAATATATAATAAAATTTTAGAAAGTTATATGTATAAAAAAATATTAATATGGGTGTGATTAAAGAAATAGTAAAAATGTAACTTACCATTATATGTAGTGACTCAGTAGATCCCTGAAAACGTAACTGGGGCTGACGATATTCTGATGGATTGGTGACCAAAGTGACAGTGCGATTTTGATACCACACTAGGTATTCCGGTGCTGCCTGGGGTTCAAGAGTCATATCGGCCTGAAGACTTGCAAGGGTGTTGTGTCGAGTCTCCCACATTTGTAAGACGCCATCTCGACATTTCTTACCACGCGTCTCCTTATGCAATTTTTTTCTATTTCTTTTTTCTCCTTGATGAAAGTGTTGTCCGGCACCCGCTGCGAGAAGCCGAACTGGCGCAACACCCTGCCTGGGATGTGTGGCTCTCGGATACCAAAATAAAACAACCAAGTCTGGGACATCCAGATGGCGGAGCCGGCAAAGCTAGATGGATCAATGTCTGCTAGGGTAGCAGGAGAGTACAACATCCAAACGAACTGGAGAGTGACAGATATATAAAAATAATTTATGAGAATATATACGAAAATTGAAAAAATTGATTTATACGTTATGATGGTTTAAATAAAAAATAATTACATTATGTTCTTGCAAAACTGCAAGTTGGTCTCTGTAGGCGGTTAGATTAAATCGTGTGATGTCCCTCACTTTTCTAGGACAATTCCACCTACAAAGAAAATAGTTTTGACTGAAAACACGGAAAAAAATTGTCAAAAAATATAACCAATTAAGATAATAATTGAATAGTTGAAAAAAAAATTACCTCCTGCCCAAGGGACACCCCTGAAGATCTGGTACGGGCCCACGTAACTCCGGACGGAAAGTCAAAATCCGCTCCCAAGCCCATAACTAATTTGCAATAAAATAATACATGACATTAAAAATAGTTTTCTTTGATATTCAATATGTGAATTAAGAAGCAAAGGCGGTTTGAAATTACCTGTAAGAGTAGTAAGCATCCACAAATACCTTGTCCGGACAATGTGATCACTGAGGAAGTGCATAGATTTCTGTACAACTACGCCAGTGTGGCACTACCCCAACTAAACTCCCGAAAGGTATTTGGGTCTTTCAAATACCCCACCAGACCTAGTGAAAACTGTTTCTAGTGCTATCAGGAAACAAAAACCCTCCTAAAATCCATCCGACAAAACAATGTGCCCATTGAAGGTGCATGTCCTTTGTAACATCCCTGGGTAGCAGATTGGTCATAATGTGTCTCTTTATATCTGTGATGTTTACTACCTTATCCTTCGTGGCCTTAGCACGCTGTCGAAAACCAAACATACTCTCTAAATAATCGGCCCACTGCACATCCTGAGGAGGTACAGTCCCCTGAACCACTGCATGCCCATCCACCCGGAGATCTAGAAGGACCTTGACATCCTGTAGAGTAATCGTCGCCTCTCCAATAGGCAAGTGAAATGAATAGGTCTCAGGCCGCTATTGCTCAACTAAGGCTATAATGAGGGCCCAATCTAACTTAATAGAACCAATTCGAAAAAGCGGCCCTAGACCAAACTTCGCTATTTGGGCATGTGTCTGTGGGGCAGCCTTGTCCAGTTCGGGCCATAGGTCAGTATCCACTCGGTAGGCGGAAAGTTATTTCAAATAAGCATTATTACCCCTAAACGTATGGAATGACCTATGATCATCATGAAGGACCAAATTAACTCTTGTCTATAGGACCCTGCTAGAGGTCATATTGTCTAGACTGCGAAGATGACGATGATCCCGTCTCCATACCCCTAATTAAAAAATATTAAGGGTTTACTATCCAAACAGAAAAATAGAAAAATCACCATAAATTAAAAAATACCATAAATAAAAAATCTAAAAAAAATTAAAAATAAATACCGAAAATGAAAAATCTAAAAAAAATATTTCAAAAAAATACCATAAATAAAAATTTCACAAAAAAATACGAATACAATAAATAAAAATATAACAATAAAATACAAATACCATAAACAGGAATCTAACAAAAAAAATACAATTACAATAAATAAAAATATAACAAAAAAATACAAATACAATAAATAAAAATATAACAATAAAATACAAATACCATAAACAGGAATCTAACAAAAAAATACAAATAAAATAAATAAAAATATAACAAAAAAATAAAAATACCATAAATAAAAAATCTAAAAAAATACAAATACAATAAATAAAAATATAACAAAAAAATAAAAATACCGTAAATAAAACATCTAAAAAAATACAAATACAATAAATAAAAATGTAACAAAAAACACAAATACAATAAATAAAAAATCTAAAAAAAATACAAATACAATAAATAAAAATATAAAAATAAAATACAAATACCATATATAGGCTAACAAAGAAAATACAAATACAATAAATAAAAACATAACAAAAAAATACAAATACCATAAATAGGAATATAACAAAAAAATACAAATACAATATATAAAAATATAAGAAAAAAATACAAATACCATAAATAGGAATCTAACAAAAAAATACAAATACAATAAATAAAAAGATAAAAAAAAATACAAATACCATGAATAAAACATCTAAAAAAATACAAATAAAATGAATAAAAAAATAACAAAAAAATACAAATACCATAAATAAAACATCTAAAAAAAATACAAATACAATAAATAAAAATATAACAAAAAAATACAAATACCATAAATAAAACATCTATAAAAAATACAAATACAATAAATAAAAATATAACAAAAAATACAAATACGTAATAATAAAACATCTAAAAAAATACAAATACAATAAATAAAAATATAAAAATAAAATACAGATACCATAAATAGGAATCTAACAAAAAAAATACAAATACAATAAATAAAAACATAACAAAAAAATACAAATACCGTAAATAAGAATATAACAAAAAAATGTAAATACAATAAATAAAAATATAACAAAAAAAACTGAATCCGGAATTTAAAAAAACCGGCTAATGAAGCTGCTGATTTTTGTCGCCGGCATATCCTCCAAAAATCAGAACACCGGCGACAACGGCACCGGCCGGTGACAACAACAACATCAACAGCAAAAAAAAAAATAAAATAAATAACCACTGCATCCGGCCGGTGACAACAACAATAACAGCATAAATTTTTTGAGGACCAAGCAACAACAACGCCGGCGATCAACAGCAATAACAACAACAGCAAAAATCAAGTCCAAACGACAGCGACAACCAAAGAACACAGGCCGCCGGCTACAACAAAAATCAAAATAAAAAAACAAAAAAAAAATAGATCTAACATTGGACGAACAACATCGGTGACCTAGATCTAAATTCGACGGTCGGAAACGCGAAGAAATTAATGGCCTAAATAAATTAGATAAAAATCGAAATAAAACGATATAAAGAATAAAATAAACAAATCATTATGAAATACAAAGACTTACCTACCTTTTGTGGAGGAGGAAGCGCCGGGAACAATGGCTGCAAACCTCGGAGAAAGCCGGGGAGGGAGGAGGCGCCAGCTTCAATGGCGAAAACCAGGGAGAAACCGATGGGGAGGGAGGTTTTGGAAGTTTTAGATTTGAAGCTGTTCGCATTCGCCATATGCGAACTTTAGGAAAACCCAGATGACGCCACATGGCGCGCCCTGGCCAGTTTCAGATTTTTCGCACTCTCCTTATGCGAACATATTTTACTCCACTATACGGGAGTCCAGTTCCTGGACTCCAATACAAATGTTAGGAACACCCAGATGACGCCATGTGGCGCGACCACACCAGTTTCAGTTTTTTCGCATTCTCCTTATGCGAACATATTTTACTCCACTATACGGGAGTCCAGGAACTGGACTCCAATACAAATGTTAGGAACACCCAGATGACGCCACGTGACGCGACCAGGTCAGTTTCAGTTTTTTCGCATTCCCCTTATGCGAAATATTGTTGTACCCATCGCCTGTTCGCATTTCATACATGCGAACATATTTTACTCCACTATGCGGGAGTCCAGTTCCTGGACTCCAATACAAATTTTACTAATATTCTTTGAGGATAGTCCTGGACAGTACACAAAATTAACACTAGTACACTTTTATTTGAATTATTCTGCAAAAACAAATTCAAACACAAATTTAATATTTTTTAAACTATTACACAAATACAATTATACAAACATAGACTTGAAGATTGTTCGAATTATTACACAAACCAAAACCCAAATACAAATTTAGAATTCTTAGAATTATTACACAAATACAAACTCAGAATTAATCAAACCATTACACCTGAATAAAACCATTACACAAATTTTGAATTCTTACTCAGAATTCTGAAGATTGATCATCAGAATCATCAGTCTACATACGAGGTACACCATGCATTCCATATCGATCGTAAGCATGATTCAAAGGAGTCCTGTCTGAAGATGGATGTGAGAATGGGCAGTTGAAGGTATCATGATCAAATCCTCCACATCGCCCGCAAACTTTCTCAACTGCGCATGCACTGGCATTATGGCCTTCTTGATGATATCGACCGCAAACTTGAACTCTCTTGTTGCCAGATTTTTTTTTGTATAATCCATAAGTCCTTTTTCTTTCGATTCACACGCTTCCGACCTGGGCCAGTATGGTGGACGAGTAATGTATCATCAAGCCTCACCTGCCACATCGCCTGTGGCCATGGTTGAAGGACTGGGTTGAATTCTCCAGAAAACTAAATAGCCCATTGTTCCCTACTATAAAATGAATCAAACAGGGGTAATGGATCAAGACGTAGAAACCTGGCAACAGCAAGCGCATGGGAGCAAGGAAACCTGTATGCCTGCCACTTGTTACATGTGCACGTCCTGGCGGCGTAGCTTACCTCATGGATATTTCCACCCTTCCATGGCCGATCAGGTGGTGAGTACGTGACCACTTGGTACTTCTGATTCCTCTTGCTAAATCTGGTAACCTCGTGGCCCATCTGATGTATACGGTATTCGTCATACCGTTTTATGGGATTTGTTGCGAGGGGTGAATGGCATTTGTCAATTTCATCTATGTTTTCCTGAAACAACTTGTTAGTCTTATACAATGTTGCAAGAATCAAAGCAGTGATAGGGAGCATCCGGGAACCTTTTAAGACATTTTTAAAACTCTCGGATATGTTCGAAGTAATTTCTCCCCAACGATATCCCCCGTCCCAATAACGGGTACACTTCTCAAGACCGATTTGCTGAAGATATATGGCTGCATCTCTACTTTTAC